TGTAAGCTACTACCAATTAAATGCTTTCCTTTATAAGAGTTGCCATAGTCACGGTATTTCTTAACAGCAGTAGATCAATGTTAGCTGTCCTATATAGAGAAGTTTAAAGGTTCCACTAATAAATTCCTACCAAAACTGATATAAGAAAAAAATTGATATAAGAATTTAGTATTTGCCAAACACAAAAAGTAACATAAAAGAGTCAGGCCTGACACTACAAACCATAATCGCAGCTATACAGGAGGCTAAGGCAGGACGTTAAGGATTCACAGCCTGTTTGGACTACATGGTAAGCTTAAGGATAACCTGGCCAAATTATTGAGTTTATGTTGCAAAATAAAGTAAAAAGAAGATTGGGCATATAGCTCAGTGGTAGAGTACTTCTCTGCGATGCACAATATCCTTGGTTCAATCAATGGTACAGTAAAAGGTAAAAAGAAAGTCAGTGTAAGCTTGGCATGAAGGCACCTGCCTGTAGACCCAGCTGCCCGGGAGGCATCACTTGGGCTCACAAGCTCAAACTTGGGGAAGACATTGAGACTACTTCAAATACAAAAGTGAGCAATCAAACAAAAATCTAGGATCATTTCCATGTATTGACAACAAATTTTCGGAAAAATAAAGAAAACTCCATTCATAACAGATATAAACAATAAACGACTTAGGAATAACCTAGAGCAAGAAGTGACAGAATTCCGTGATGAAAGTTAAAAAGCACCAATGAAGCAAGCTGGAGGGGAGGGGACGCCCCAAGATGGAACAAAAACGACCTCGTGTCTACAAACTGATGGACTGAACATCATGCAGATACACATACTACCTAAGGTACCCTGACCAATTCAATAACATTACTATCAAATGCTAAATGACATTCTTCACAGAAACAGAAATAGAAAAACAAGCATAAAATCTGCACGGCACCACGAAACATCCTTTAAGTGCTGGGGACCAATGTGAGGGCCTTTGTCTTCTGGAGATGAGCACTGCACCCCCGATCTGTGCTCTAAGAGCCACCCCAGCAACTGTGAGCAAAGACAACAAAACTGGAAGAATCAAAGAAGCCGACTTCAAACAGACACTAGAAAGCTGGAGCACAGTCCTGGCATGAGACTGATTCAGAAGACTGATGGGCCTGAACCGAAACCTGTAAATGAGTCCACAGACACAGTCAACTGAGAAAGGACGCTCTCTAGATAAAACCTATAAATGAGTCCACAGAAACAGTCAACTGAGAAACGACGGCCTCTAGATAAAATGGGGCCAACAAAATGGACAGCCACATGTAGACGCATGGAAGTAGACTCCATGCTTCCTACAGTATGTAAAAAATAACTTGAAATGGATCAAAGATCTAAATCTAGGTTCTGAAACCAGGAAACTACTAGAAGACGATGCTGTGTGGGCGTGATTCTCTTTAATGACTCCCCAGGAGTGCAGGCAATCAAAGAAGATGCAGACAAATGGAATCACAGCAAAGTAAAAAGCTTGAGGAAGTACACAGACAACTTGTAGACAGAAGAGGTGCACAAACAAGTCACCTGACAAACGGGGCAGGATCCAGACACATGGAACTTAACTTCTAACAACACTCTCTAGCTACCTGACTTTCACATGAGCAAACAGTCCCAATCTAGGGAGCACGAATCAAACCACATGGAGGTACAATTCCTCCCTGGCCTGCTGCTCAAGGATAAAGGCCAGCAAATGCTGACAGAGATGTGAGAGATAGTTGGGAATGTAAATTAGCACAGACACCATGGAGTTCCCTCAGCAAACTAAACCACTGTGTGTCCCAGCAAAGCCCATTCCAGGGTATGCCTGAAGGAGCCATGCACAAGCCTATGTTTACTGCAACACTGTTTCTACAGCCGAGACAGGGGATCTGCTGTGGGATAGTCTTTTTGTACACTGGGAAGATGTGTCCCTGCCAAGGCACCTTCTGATTAATTTAATAAAGAGTTGAATGGACAATAGCTAGGCAGGAGAACATAGGTGGGACTTCCGGGTAGAAGGAGGAACTTTGGAAAGGAATCAGAGAGGTGGGGATTCACCAGTGAGAAGAGAAGCTGAGGGGGGCTGGAGAGATGGCTCAGAGGTTAGGAGCACTGACTGCTCTTCTAGAGGTCCTGAGTTCAATTCCCAGCAACCACATGATGGCTCACAACCATCCGTTATGAGATCTGGTGCCCTCTTCTGGTGTGCAGATATACACGGAAGCAGAATGTTATATACATAATAAATAAATAAAATCTTTAAAAAAAAGAGAGAGAGAAGCTGAGGAAGTCAGACATACAGTATGGAAGAGAGGTAATGAGCTGTGGCAGAATGAAGATTAATATAAATGGATTAATATAAGTTATAAGAGCTAGCTGGGGACAAGCCTAAGCTAAGGCCAAGCTTTCATAATTAATAAGAAGTCTCTGTGTCATTATTTGGGAGCTGGTGATCCCAAGTTCACACAGTCATAGGTATTAACTGTGGTATCTATCCACTGAAAAAGAATGGACACAGGCAACATAGCACACACACCAACTGGAGCCTATATTAGTGACCCATAAAAAAGTTAAATTCATTTGTGACAACACAAGGGAACTGAAGGACACTATGTTAAGTAAAATAAGGGAATAGAAACACGTGTTCTAGTTCTACTGAGAGCAAGAACATGATCTCAGTAGAACAGCTAATCTCACAGAACCTGAGGGAAACGAGTAGTCACTGGAGGATGGAGATGGTAAAGGAGACGGGACGGATAACAGGTACCAATGCAGTTAGATAAGAGCTAAGTTCCAATGTTCTGTAGCTTCGTAGGATGACACAATTGATTATAGACTTCAAAATACCTACGAAGAGGAAATGATACATGCTTAAGGAGATGGAATGCTAACTGCCTTGATTGGGTTGTTACACATTGTATAGGTGCAGCAAATTATCACAAAACAAAGCAAAATACTCTAATCCTTGAGAGGGGCTAAGGCTGACTCACTGATTTAGAAACTGGCAAATAAAAGGATCAATCACTTAAAAAAAATCCACATGGGGCTGGAGAGATGGCTTAGTGGTTAAGAGCACTAGCTGCTCTTCCAGAGATCCTGAGTCAGACTCCCAGCACCCACACGGTTACTCACAAACACCTGTTAAGTTTAGGCCCAGGGAGTCTAATGCCCTTTCCTAGCCTCCTCAGGTACTACACATAGGTGGTACACAGACAATACCCATACGAACAAAATAAGATGGGGGCTGACAAAAAAGACCATATATGGTTTCAAATATGGAGACAGGAAGCAGAGCAACAGTTCCCTGGAAATGAGGTGGGAGTAGAAACTGATAGTAACTGGGTACAAAGTCATCGGAAGATGATGGAACCATTTTAAAACTTGAGTATGTACACCTGTTCACATCTATTAAAGAATTAAAACTTCCATTTACAATAGATGATCTCAGGGTATATAAATTGTGTGTCAATAAAGCTCTAAAAAGGGGGGGGATCTAACTTGAAGTTAAAATAAGAACCTAAGAGTAGAGCTAAAGTTATTCTCAGAAAAGTATGTGGCTTTATATTGCTATAAAACTAAAAATAAATAACTCAGTATTTGACTTAGTAAATAGGAAAAAGGATACAGAATAGGATAATTAAAACAAAAGTGAGGATGAAGGGGGTATTGAACAGGAACAGAAGAAGGGACATAATTACCATAGATAATGGAAGAGAGGAAAGATCCACTCAGAAGCCCCACACAGCTGTTACAGAGTGACACTTCACAGACCCACTGTGAGAGGAAGACACAAAGTGTTTGGTCCAACTGAGCCTACTTCATGGCCACATGGGTCACCCACATTTGATTATTTCTGAAATTCAGGCACATCAATCTTTGTCATAAGATGACATCAGGAGAGAGCTACATGGAAACTTGAGGGCTGCCTTTAGGAAAGAGCACTGAATGCTTCTATTTGTATATCTTGGGTCTGATGAGAGGACGTCACAGAAAAAGAACTGGTGTAAGGAGAAGAGAGAGGCAGAGACGGGTGGAGAACAATTGGCAGAGCAGTGGGCCCAAGGGAGCCTTGTACAGAGACTCCAGAGACAGGTAAATGTTTCCAATCAGAAATCACACTCCAGCCTATGCTGAGCCCTTCCTGGGCTCCGCCCTGTGTGCAAAGGGGACACCTACCTGCTAGCAGATAAAGGGAAAGCCTTTACCCTCCCCTCCCCAGGTACATCTGCATGGAGCTCTACAGACAGCACTGGGGATACAGCTCTGAAGGCCAACTTCCTGCTCTCCACATACTCAGTCAAGATTAATTTTAAAAAGATGCATCATTACAGATTGCAGTTATGACAGACGTCTGATAGCCACTTCACATAGTGGTCTTAGAACTTAGAATATGTAATAGCACCTGAGGCTCTCATCTTACTATAGTTCCTTGACCCATTTTCCTTGAAAAGGTCTTAAGTACATCAATACTGAGCCCTCCTGGAGGAGAACTCAGAGTTCGATGTTCCTCTGGTGGAAAGAGATGGCTGTGCCATGGGAGCAGTTCCAAGTGAAGAGCCCTACTCCCTGGCTGGTCTCAGGTAAGGGACCCAAGGTCCAGGAGAGTGTGCCAAGCACTGAGCTGGTTCTCTGCCTGGGCTTTTGTGACTGCCTGTAGTAACTAACATCTTCTGAAGGCTGGAGTTTTAAGGCAAGCCGAAGAATTACATGGAAGAAAAATGGCTGGCTTACTTATATAGCTAAGATTGGAAGTTCTCCTTATTGTCTTAGTGTAATGTTCTTGTAACACATGTAGCTATCAGACTTTTAGCCCAAAAGCTCTGGAATTAAAAATATTAGCTCAGTAGAGTTAAGTGGCATTCAATCCAAGGAAAAACTGAACCAGGAAAAACAAACAACAAACAAAAAAACAAAAACCTGATCCATAAGGAGCCAGCAAGGCTCAGAAATAGCATTCCTCATCCCAAATAACAAACTTCGTACTCTGAAAAGACAAATGAGAATTACCTTTTAAAGACGGGAGTTTTTGCAGTTCTCTGTTATTGCTGGCATTAAACCGTGAAGAATTCTGCCGTTTGTCTTTCTTAACAGGGACGACGGGCTGAGGGACTGGGACTTTTATTTTAGCAGATGTCGAAGACTGGACAGCCACCAGGCTGTTTTTCCTGCTGGCTATCTGTTTTCAAAATAAAAAGAAATCAATATGTAAAATAGATTATTTTAAATGACTGCTAATACAGCAAAATTGAAACATAGAAAATACATACGTGTGTATGGGGCAGTGTTCTTCTCACCCCGGTAACTGGGGCTGCTGGAGGCTGGGACTTCTATCCTCAGCAATCCTGGACTGCAAGAGCCACAGGCCCCTAACTACTATGTCCCCTGCAGACCTCTGATTTCTTTGGTTGTTTGTTTGCGGACAGTCTTACCTGATAGCTCAGGCTGGTATTGAACACACTGTATAACAAAGCTGATCTCCAACAGTGGTGATCCTTCTGCCTCAGCCTCTTGAGTGCTAAGACTGGAAGTGTAAGCCACCTGCCTGGTTGACTTGTAAAATATTACCACAGTGTGATAGGCGAGGTAATGACTGCCACAAAAACAGTCACATCCTATAACCTGGGACGTTTGACTGTCACCTTGCTTGGCAAATGAACCTGGCAGATGTGATTAAGTTCAAGGTCACCAGAGAGGGAAAGGATCCTTGACTATCAAGATGGACAATGCCAGCCGAAAGCTCCTCATGAGGGAGGTGGGCTGTGGAACAAGCAAAGGAAAGGAGATGATGGAAGCTGACGTCCAAGAATCGGAGAGATATGAGGAGAGGCTGTGAGCAGAGAGAGATACATCACCCTGCTGTACCTTCCCTTGGGCCCTGTATCCAATCTCTGCCCTCCAGAACTGTAAGATATGAGAGCATGTGCTCCTACAACCACGGAGCAGAAGCAACAGAGAGAACAGAGCTGAGCGCCTCCTGAGACAGGAGGTTCTCACACGTTCACGACTCTGCTGCATACAGGTGTCTTCCCTGAGCCTACAACTATTCCTCCTGGCTTTTCTTTGCACCCTGGGCTCCCAACTAACAGGCACATCTCTGATGGCATGACAATTGTCACGGATAACCAAGCTCCTTGTGGGCCACTCCAACAAGTCCAGTGAGATATTCCTGCAGAGTGGAGAACACTCTGAGGAAACACACAGCAAAGCCACTAGAGTCCCTTGTCATCCACACAGGTTCAGTGGATGTCTCACCATAGGGATCCCGTGAGGTTGTGTGGCTCTGGACTCTCAGTTAGAGGGATCTCGCCCAGCTGACATGACACACTATGGCTTCTTGCAACCATTTTCCGGATGGGGCAGCCACCACCTTCAACAGGGAAGGCGCGATGTCCGACACACGCAGTCTGCCCCAAACAGTGGTGCTTGTGTCTACACACACGTACTTTCAGATGGCCATTAGTGGGGCTGACGGTTCTCAGGGTAAAGGGTCTGCTGCCCAAGCATGAGGATGTCAGCTCACATTCCCCAGAACCTGTGTAAAAGCTGTGTGTGGTATCTGCAACTCCAGTGCTGGTGAGGGAACAGGGGTGGAAAGGGGTAGACCTGGATCCCTAGGGCTTACTGGCCTGCTAGCCTATCTGAAATAGTGAGCTGTAGTCTCAGTGAGAGACCCTGTCTCAAAAAATAAGGTGGAAAGTGATTAGGGAAGACACCCAAAGTCAACCTCTGGCCTGCATACACACATATGCACCAACAAGTATGTCCACACACACATGTGCATACTCTCCCTCCCCCCATATGGAACCACTGAAAGGCCAACAAGCTTCAACCTGAAGATACAAAATTCCTTAGCCCCTTCCCATCACCACACAGGGCCATGGAGACCAGCCACACCAACACAAGCTCTAACTTATCCGTTGTCATCCTCGAATGCATGTTTGCTATGCAGTGTTCTGGGCCTGCTTTGTTTTTAATAAGCTGCCTAACAACACCTGGGTAGGCCGTTCCAAGATGAGACTGTCCAGGGCGGTAGCAGCAGTTCTGACCTGAGAGTGGGAGCCAGGTACCCTTCCCACAGTCCTTGACTCTGCGCTCAGAAGGTACTTTCCTGGACTCTGATCCTGACGTCTGTTATGATCTGATCTTGATCCCTAGGGTGCTGGTATGGAAGTGACAAGGATTTTTAAAAGGTGGGATCTAAAAGGAAGTCCTGTGTCACTGGTTGCTCCTTCTGCTCCTGGATTGAAATGTGGCAAGTTACACACACTCCAGCCATTACCACTTACTGTTCCGTCCTCACCAGAACTGAGCCACCATCAAAGCTGTGAGCTCAATAAACATTTTCCTTTGTAAGTAGCTATGCCTGTCGTTCATTATTGTGAGGAAGAACCAATAAGGGATCTCTCATTCATTCTTACCATCTGGCACAAAAAGCATGAAAAGCCCACCTACGGGCTGGTGAGGTGGATCAGTGGCAAAGGCACCTGCCACCAAGCTTGACAACCCAAGTTTAATCCCTGAGACCCAAATGAGGAGGGAAAGATCAACTCCCACAAGTTGTCCTCTGTAACATCCCCTGTACAGACGCATAGACATAAATGAATACAGTAACAAAATTCAAAAGAAAGTGCCATCCACAACTCACCTCTTCCATGGAGCCCTCCCCAAGTTAAAACTTATCAGTTTGGCTTTACTGGGACGCTCCTTCAAAAGTTGGAGAGATAGCTTCATTGCTAAAAAGAAGTTGCTGCTCTTACATAGGACATGGGTCCGGTTTCCAACACCCACATCGGGCAGCTCTGACGGCCTGGTTTGCAGCTGCAGGGGAATCTGATGCCTTTGGCCTCCAAGAGCACACATGTGCGCGCGCGCGCGCGCGCGCACACACACACACACACACACACTAAAATGATAATATAACTTAAAGGCCCTAGGACTTACCTCATAGCCTCAAGGGCAACCCTGGAGAGTGATCCTTGTTTTACACACTATGCTCCCACGCATGCACTCCAGACTGTTCTAACATCCACCTCCCTTCTTGTCTCCACTGCCCAGTCCAGGACCATATATACAAGGACCTTGAGGAACCACAGATGAACAGAAACAGCTGCAAGGCCACTTCATACCACAGGGAAACCAGCTGTGCATCTTACATAACCAAGTATAAGACTGAGGGTGATCGGGTTAACCCACAAAACAGGATCAAATCAAATCAAGAGGCAATGGCCACCATCACTGGGAAACAGGTGAGGTGAGGTTTCCAGCGTCTGAAGGAATGAGGTTGTCCTAACCTCTGCAGACAACAAACCGTCAGCCCCTCCCTCGGGACTTCTCATCCAGAGCCTTCACCCACGAGGAGGCAGGGAGCTTCCAGGGAGAAAATCTGTCCACTGCTCCATGTTTATCCACCATGAGAGTTTCTTCTAGTTTCATGGTGGCCACATGTCTCCTTCCAGGCCTTGCCCACCGCCTGTGTGCCCTCCTGCAGCCACTCCAGGCCCTCACCTCTGCCATCCTGCTCACTCCCCCACGGCACCTGCCCAGCCTTCCCCTGTCATGGCATGTTATTCTCTGAGTGCTCTTGACCCAGAACACTGGAATTTTATAGCCTGTCAACTGTGAGGGGGCACAGGAGGACAGGGCCTGTCAGGTCACTTGGTCAGTTTTGTGAGGATCTTGGGAGTTGCCAACCAGGAGGGGCTCTTCTAAAGAAACGAGCTCACCTCCATTCCCCACCTTCTGCAATGGCCTTTGATTGGCTTCGGGTCATGCACACAGAGAGGGATAGGTACACAGAAGACTGGAAAGGCACAGGCGCCATCCAGAGCAGTGAGCAGACCAATGGCCTTATGTGACAGAGAACTACAAACAGGTGCAGCGGTGCAGTGTGGCAGTGAGGGCAAGTCTCCTTTTCTAAAAGGCGTCCCGGCTCTGCGGGCTCCGACCCTGGGAAAGCTTTGTCCTGAAGCATGAACAAGAGAGGCACAGACTGGCTTTGGCAGGAAGCAGCAGCTAAGTACGGAAAACAAAGTGTCAGACACTGGGAAAAATCACTGGGGCTGGAGGACAGGGCAGGTGTGTGGGATGGGGAGTGGAGAAGAGACCAAGAGGTAGACAGGAACGGAGTGACAAGCAGCCTGTCAGGCAAAGCGGTAAGTTCAATGTGGTCTCGCTGTCTGAGGTCCTCTGTGGTGATACAGCACATTCAGATGAAAAGGCCAAAGTTAGCACTCTCTGCTTCTTCCAGAATGCATTCTATTTTCTTAACAATAGGACTCAGCAGCTAGATTCTTTTTCTTTCTTTGCTTGTAATTTTGGCCACTAGCTATCCATCCTACCCTGCCCATGAGACAAAAATCTCACTCACCTTTCTCACTGTGTCCTGAGGCTCAGGACAATTCCGCTGGACACCCACTAGACACTCACTAGACACTCAGGAAGTCCACTGGGACTGGTCATGTGATACTGGAAGTCAATAATGTCTAAGTGAGTTGTTCAAGACATGGGGATGATCACCTAGGAACAGAGGATGGCCACTGCTGCACAGAATGCTGGCAGGTAAGCTCTGCTGCTGGTGCTGTGCTGTGCACTGTAGGACATTTACAGCCTCCTCGCTCTGCCCACCTGAAGCAAGCAGCCAAGTCTTAGGTTGAGACAAGAATGTCACCAGCATTACTGAATGTCCCCTAGGTGGGGTTGCAGGGCAAAATCACCCATGGTTGAATATCACATCTTTCAAAAATATGTGACTAACTTCATTTTATTTGTTAACAACTAATTTGTAAAGGGAAAGAGAAGGGAAACCACAGGAGCAGAAGAAAGTCAGGCCTAGTAACAACCAAGTGTAGCCATAGCTTATTTCACCTGGACTGAAGCTAAGCTAAGCACAATATCAACCTGGGTGCGAGTTCACGCTCCTTTTCAAGGGTCCTGACAGTGATTTGGTTCTGCTTAAGAGTCCCCAAGCACAGGAAACATGCAAAAATTGGCAAATAGGATTGAATCAAATAAAGTTTCTACACAGCAAAGGAAACAATTAACAGAGTGAAGAAATAGCCCACAGAAAGAGAAGCAATGTCTGCCAACTACTCATATGATAGAAGGTTAATGTCCAGAATACATATGGAGTAAGGACAAAACAAAAGCAGGCGATCCAATTAAGAATAGGCAAACAAT